AGTTCCGAATTTTCCCAAAACATGTGTTCTGCACTGTCCAGCCCTCTTCTGGGAAGAGTCCCTAAAGGAAACATGCCGGTGGCAGAGAAGGAAAACAATGCTGCCTCCTCCTCAGACTCTGAGTTTGAATACTTTCTTTTCATTTTCCTCAGAGCAGGATTACACAGAGATCCGGAAAACTGTTTTTTGGTCACAGAGTTGACTAATGGCACTAAAGGAGTCTTCAATGCAGATATAGGCTTTAGTGCCAGTGCAGACTGCCCAGGTGAAGTCTGCAGCTCCAGACAGTACGGGATAGGAAGCTTGGCCACTGTAGGCATTGGCCTTGGGGAGCTGGACCTCGGGCTCGACAACGAGGGAGACAAGTCAGGAGCAGCTTGATGTGTCTCAAGTGTCTTTACAGAAGACCTTGGCAAAGAACCAGAACTCAAACCTCCCACAGGAGTAGCAGGATGGTCCAACTGGAAGCTTACCAAAGTAAAATGAACTTGTACCCTGAGATGCCCCTCATTCCTCAGTCAAGGAATAAAAGCATGGCAAAATTGTGCACTGAGATACTATGTGCAATTCTCCCAGGCACAGAAGACACCAAACACGTCTCTGTCTCAGAGAAGATAGCTGAGTGGGTTGCATCTCTTTTGAACCCTCTATGGGGTTCAGGACCTGCCATGATTTTGGGGATAACCCAAGGCTAATTGTCCCAAGTAACCTAACACTAACAACAGCTTGTTTTCTTTGAATAGTTCCTAACTAGTCTCATGAACAGGAAAGGTATTTCCATTAGCTCTCGTGGCAGCAAAGAAGGAACTGAGGTGTGTGTGTGTGTGTGGGGGGGGGTGCACTCCCATATACAGATGGAGCTGATGACATCATCCTAGCACAAGAGTGCTCCTGCCCTTTGCACTCAGCAGACACTGCTTTTCTATACAGCTGCACAGCACAACACCAGAGGCACCATATCCCATGAGTGTGAATGCACAGAGGCCTTCAAAGAATAAGCCATTTTATGGAGCCAAAGTACTGAATATTGCTTGTTGTAACATGATGAATCTGCTATTGAACACATAAATGCCAAACATATAGATCTTATATTTTGACAACTGTGCCTCTGAAGATCCAGATCTTCAAATCTGTCAGCCCTAAGGAGAACTTTTTTGGACATAAACAGCAATATTGCCTTCCACTGCTGCAAGCTCCATCAAGCATTTTCTAGCCTTTGCAAAGCCTCAAACTAGAGATTTTGTGTGTCTCAAGGAGAGGCTCAGAGTTTTCAGATGCAATGGTGATTACAATTGTATTTCCATGATAGACTTATTTATAAATTATCCTTAAGAATGCTTATAACTTGAACTACATCACTCCCTCATTCAGTTTTTTGCAATACGATTCAAACTGGTGACAGGCAAAATATAATTTTTGATCATTTTTTCTATGCTTTGGCCTGACTAGTAACTCAGTTTATACTGAAGATATTCCAAAATAGCTCACTGTTGCATCAAAGGCAACACCAACTGAAGAGGTCTTCTGGGACTTAAATAATAAGATCTGAAAAGATCTTTCAAAATACATTTCAACTGTTTAGATAATCTCTTGAGATCCTGAATATCCAGTTTCAAATTTATCGTTGATGCAGTGCACAAACATGAATAGTTTCTTGTTTAAAGCTGGCCTTCATACCACTTAAACAGTTCATATTCACCGCTGATCATATACACAATCTGAATTCAGAGCAACTAGTTTTGACTAGAGTTATTCAATCTTGTTACCTGCGACTCCTAAAGCAGTTTTCTGTGCAATATGATCAGCTGTAGCAGAATTTGATGTGTACCAATTCTTGTTCAGCTACAGACTTGTCACTGGATCAGCCATCAAAATTCCAATGATAGTTTGATGTATTCCAGTCATTTTTCAATTTTTTTTTTTAAAAAGTCAGCTGTAACAAAATACTAGAGAAAGCCCAAAATCAAATCAAACTGTTTCACAGCAGACAATCAAACTGTAGCCAATTTTACCCACTCAGCCTTGGTTGGCAACTGAAACTATCACTTGTGTTCTGGCAAAGACAACTGCCTTTGAACTATCTAACCGTGGTCTATAGTTTAGAAGGTTCTATTGCTCTACTCTATCTTCTCTCTTCCTTACCATTAAACCATCTCAGCCCCCTGAACCCTCCAGCTACTCTCCCCATCTGACTGGCAGATCTATGTTGCTGCACCTTAGAACGGAGGAAACTGGACACTTTTTCATGAGGAGGTAGCATTCCTACTTGTCCTGGACTTCTGAACAACAGGACTTTTCCCAGCCTGGGTAGTGTCCACAGCTTATACAACACAGAGCCCATGCCCAAAGGCTCACTGTCATAGGTTCATGTTTTCTCAAAGACATCCTTCAAGAACTTCATGGTAGCTACAATAAATTTTGCATGCTAAAATTTATCAAATTTGAGGGATCAGGAGGTAAAGCTTTCAACAGCAGACTCTGGGTACACCTTTTCACCATCACATTCCTCATGGAACCAGAATGGAGGAAAATCTGATAACACTCAAAAGTAGCAACACATAACAAACACAAACAAGGATAGAGATATTACAGCCCAATAGGCATCTCTCAATGTTTTTAATCCAACACTGAGGACTGATTCCTGCTCACTGAAATCCATGGAAGTCTTTCCATCAGCTTTAGTAGGATACGCAATTTATAGATTAGATAGTCAATGAAAACAAACTCTTCTTCAGTACATCATATACAGTTTGATTTGAAATGCCTGTTTTAAAAAATACCTACCAAACCGTAAGGTACAGATACACCTCTACCACGATATAACGCGACCCGATATAGCACGAATTCGGATACAACACGGTAAAGCAGTGCTCCGGGGGTGGGGGGCTGCGCACTCCGGTGGATCAAAGCAAGTTCGCTATAATGCGGTTTCACCTATAACCCGGTAAGATTTTTGGCTCCTGAGGACAGCATTATATCGAGGTAGAGGTGTATTGTCAAAAACGCAGCCATGTAAAATTGACACCTCCTTTGTCAGCAGATCTTAAGATGTACCTGGATATTTTAGTGACAAAAATATTTACTTCTTTAAACTCCTGTTAACACTGTAGAGCAGGGGTAGGCAACCTATGGCACGTGTGCCAAAGGCGGCACGCGAGCTGATTTTCAGTGGCACTCACACTGCCCGTGTCCTGGCCACCAGTCCAGGGGGCTCTGCATTTTAATTTAATTTTAAATGAAGCGTCTTAAACATTTTAAAAACCTTAATTTACTTTACATATAACAATAGTTTAGTTATATAATACAGACTTATAGAAAGTGACCTTCTAAAAACGTTAAAATGTATTACTGGCATGCAAAACCTTAAATTAGAGTGAATAAATGAAGACTCGGCACATCACTTCTGAAAAGTTGCCTACCCCTGCTGTAGAGTGTATATAACAATGATCAAGTTTGCTTGATTCTATTCTAACTCCTCTATAAAAAGAGCTATTAAACAAGTTCCAATAACAGGGAAAGTTTCACCTTCAATTACATCTGTAACTCCATTGAGGATAATGCATAGGATAACTGAGGGCACAATTTGGACTGCCGAATCTTATTGGTGGTGACACACAAGCCAGAAAGAACAAAGCTTGATTTTCAGACAGCAGGCAGAGTCTGCAGGGCTAGCACAAACTTTATTTAAAACTACTTAAACAGAGATAATTTTATACTGAATTACATTTAAGGCACTGAAATGAAGCCCTACTTACTTTCCAGTCACTTTTCAGTTGCCCTGAAACTCAAAATAAACTTCTCCTTATTCTACTTTTTAAAAATGATTCACAAATATCAAGAAAAATATACCAACTCTGGGCGTTATGTGCTAAGTGAACTGAAAAGTAAATGAAGCATTCAGTGTATTACTCACTTCAATTTTGGGGATGGAGGGTCATGGCAGAAGAAAGTCTCACCTACCTAGATACACAGACTGCTGACTCTTTTTGCTTCATGTCAACAGCCTAGAGTACACTCTGTTGGAAATATCACATCTACTAAGAAAAGCCACTAGGACCAGCCCGACACGATAGGAGTATATAGGGATATTTTTAAAAATAAATAATTAAATCAAAGACAAGCCCTTGTTTTGTTTTCCAGGGTATAAAAATAGGGAAAAAAAACTATGAATCCATATATTACAATTAATGCTCAACACCTACACTCACCAGTCTAGCTTTATACTCCTGCTGACAAGTAGAGTACAAATGGAAGGGTTACAGAGAGAATCTACCTCAGAGAATCAGGTGGAAAAATAAGGGAATCAAATTTCCTGATAAGTTATAAGCTGTGTGTTTCTCTTGCCTTTGCTAGTTGAAGCATTCAGCACATAACATTGCATCAGTTTTGGAGTTTAGTATCTGAGATCATGTGTCACATAGAAACATTTTTGTACTCTATAGGCTGTAGAATTCTGTTTAGATCACTGCAGTAGTGAAGACTTAGACAATGCAGCTATTACCTAACAATTACCTAGTCAGGAAGATTTATATTAAGAACACTATCTCAGGCCTTGGCTGTAACTTGGACAAATCCCCTGGGTAGATATTGACAGCCAACCACTACTGTAGCCATACTGAGTGGCAAGCGCTTAGCCTAGACAGGCAAAGACAATTTAAACAGCGATTTGCACTAATCCATTTTCTCCAACTGATAAAATGAAGTGGTGCAAATCATGGCTTACAGCACCTTTGCCTATGTTAGGTGTCTGTACCAGTGCAGCTACACTAATGACTGGCCACCTATGGAATGCCAGCTGAACCACCAATGAACTTCACACAATTGTAGCCATAGTAAATCTGCAGAACTGGTTAACTAGAGTATAAAAATGAGCTATAAGAAAAGCTTTATAAAAAACTGTGCTAAAGAAGCAGTTGTCAAGGTTTTCTATTGCCCGTAACACATATAAGTATATCCAAGGCCAAACCTGAAAGTATCTTTCTGACAAAGTATTTTCTTACCTTTTCCAGGACTAAGGTTTTGGTCTATAAAAACCTTAAGCTCTCCATTGGCTTCAATTAGTCCAGCCTAGTAAAGAAAATAAAAAATTTACATTTACAATATATGTAGAAAGCTGTAAGTTCTTTACTATTAATTTTAAAAGGTCTTATGTAATTTGTTAAGACTTCCCCAACCCAGGTTTCCAAATTAAAAACTGCAACTAAATAACTATTGTATCTCCACCACAAAATGGCTAAGTAAAGTAAAGTATGTAGTAAATAAAATTTTGTGGAAAATGTCTGTTTAAAATACTTCAATAGCATACTAACAACTATACCGGTGACATATTCCACAGAAAAAAAAATCACTAAGACCATCCCACAAAAAAACAAAGCAGGGAGACAGAAAAACAACAGATTTCTACATCATTATCCAGAATATGCTTATAAAATTGACAGTCAGTAAAATTATAATAAGCCTTGAGTTAAGAATAAATGTCATAAGTATACATATATGTGCTTCCTCTTAATGATCAATAAAACTCAATTTCCTGAACTTATTAACTGCTAAACAGGTTAGTAGCCAGGCCTCACCTGACAACAGTTGGTAGAAAAGGACAAAAACAACGAGGAGTCTGCTGGCACCTTAAAGACTAACAGATTTATTTGGGCATAAGCTTTCATGGGTAAAAAACCCCACTTCTTCAGATGCATGGAGTGAAAACTACAGATACAGGCATAAATATATATTGGCACATGAAGAGAAGGGAATTACCTTACAAGTGGAGAACCAATGTAGAAGGCCAATTCAGTCAAGGGGGATGTGGTCCACTCCCAATAATTGATGAGGAGGTGTCAATACCAAGAAAGGGGAAATTGCTTTTGTAGTGAGCCAGCCACTCCCAGTCCCTATTCAAGCCCAAATTGATGGTGTTAAGTTTGCAAATGAATTGTAGCTCTGCAGTTTCTCTTTGAAGTCTGTTTTTGAAGTTTTTTTGTTGTTGTTGAAGAATGGCTACTTTTGAAGAATGGCAACTGGGAGCTGAGGGCGGGGGAGAAGAGCAGCGCCAGGGAGCTGCAGGGGGGAGGCGGCACCCATGACATCTAGGAGCTGGGGGGGCCCACTTGGCACCTGCGGCAGCGAGGATTTGCTGGGAGCACCCCCTGTGGGGGCTCAGCACTCCAGTCACTGCAATGACTAGGAGTTCCAGGGTCCCCTGGTGCACGCAGCAGCTGGGAGCGAGCTGCCGGGGACCCCACCTCCTGTGGCAGCTGGGAAGTCCAGGGCCCCTGCCGGTTGACAGCTCCAGCCCCGCCACCCTGGGGTGGAAGTGGAAAATGTCATGGAAGTCACAGATTCCATGATGTAAACTTAGCCTTATTGAATAGTTTCTGACCCAGGACTAATCCCCTAGAGGACCGCATTAGACATGCCTTGCCAATTTGACACAAACCATTGGTAACTACTTTTTGACTATGGTCTTTCAACCAGTTGTGCATCCACCTTACAGTAATTTCATCTAGACCACATTTCGCTAGTTAGCTTATAAGACTGTCAGGGAGATCTATATCAAGAGCTTTACTAAAATCAAGGTATATCACTTCTACTGCTTCCCCTCCTCCACTAGATCAATAATTCTATCAAAGAAGGAAATCAAGTTGGTTTGGGGTGATTTGTTCTTGACAAAATCAACACTGACTATCCCTTATAATCCTATTTACTCCTGGGGGAATTCTGCACCACTGCATGAATAATTAATGAGCCGTGCATATTTTTAGTTTTTCACACAGAAAAAAAGCTTCTGCTGAAAAGTTGCTGCAGTTCCACCTCCCCCCCCCCCCCAACAGAGGGCACTGTGGTGATAGAACACAGCAGCAGCTCCCAGACAGCTAGGGAAGAGAAAAAACCTGCAGAGCCTTCTTCGCAGCGAACCTTTGAGTCTTCAGCTGAATGGAGTGCTTCATCCTTTCTGCTGCTAAAAACCTCCATCCCTTCAAAGGCTAGGTCCTCTACAGTAATTCAGTATGCCAGATGCTGGCAGCTACGAGGCCAGTCTCATCTTGACAGAGATGACTAACTGATGTCATGGCCATGTTGGACGCAGCCATGGCCATCTATAACAGTTCTCACCTCCATCTGGCCCTCTTATGTCCTGTAGCTTGTATCTTCAACAGGAAGATAGTGTCTTTGGAGGAACTTCATAACTCTTCCTCCCACATCCAACCAGTAGAAAAAAAGAGTTGCAGTGTCTACCAAAGTCCCTTTGCCAGCTCCAGATACCATTGTTGATAGGGAGGGTGCTCCTGTCAGGGGTTGTAGAGCTCAGTATGCCGTAGAACTTTTGGACTTTTCCTGGACCACTGTGCTTTCAACATCCAGTGTCTTTGAGCTGCGACATGAGATCTTGGAATGCCCTGACACCATCAACTGCCCTTGTAGGGGATGGTGTGTCTACCTCATCTGGCCAGGACGTGGACTTTAGATTGAGTCACAGGTTGCTACTAACTCCTCATTGTTACAGCAGAATTGAGGCTACTAGCCCCTGATGGCAGAAAGTTTGTATTAGGAAGGGAAAGATGCAAGCTGGATGCACACCATGCTCTGACCAAAAAGGCCTGAAGTCACCGTTCATAAGTCCAAATAGTGGACTGAGAAGACCAGTAGGGTGGCTTGGTAACAGCACACAAAATACTGTATCATCTCTTCTCCCACCCAGCCTGTACCAGCAACAGGGTGGATAAAAATCATTTAAAAAAAAATGAATTTTTTTTATTTAAATTGGATTGTTTTGATAAAATGCTTCTTGAGGAAAAAACCTATCTAAAGATAGTTGTCATTAAGATACATCTTTGAGCTATAATGTCTTATCATGGAATAGGGATTATAAATTCTAATTCTATAGTATGAGACAATATATTCATGGAATGTGTAAGAAAATTTTGTAAATGAGTTCCAATAGTTTATGGACTAGGGAACCCAATCTTATGGGGTTCCAGAGGCTTCTGTATAGATTATTTAGGTTAAACTTTCTATCCACCGAATAAGACTCAGTGGTCAGTCTAGAAGATACCATCAGAGATGCTTAGTTTTGCAGTTCTCAAACTGTGGATTTGTGTCTCTAGAGATAACATGCTTGTTAACAGCAAAAATGTTTAGTTATCTATCTAACTAGCTAACTAACCTACCTCAACCTTCTTGCCCCTCTGCAAATTTGTGTACACAGAGTCAATCCCTTACCTCTCTCTAAAAGTGCAAAGTTTCAAAAAGTTCACTTAATAGAAGATCGTTGGGGGCACAATAGATCTGGACAAGGAGAAAAAGTCTGGAGATAAATGCGAGAAGGGAGGGACAGGCAACAGAAACAAAAGTGAAACTGTTTGAGCAGCATATTTCAGAAGTCTTGAGGTCTTTCTGAGTGTAGCTTTCATTGATTTGAGATCTACCATACCATTCTCTCACTAGAAGGGAAAACCTGTATTGGCAGCAGGCGTAAAAAGAGACCCAGTTTGGGAATATTTTAATGAAGTTCCTCTACCTGTGGGTAAGACAGGCATGCATGAAAAATACAAACAGTGCAACAAAGAAATGCAAGGCCTGGTTGCCCGAATGAAACAACATCATGAGAAGTGTTCCTTCTCAGGAGGAAGCTGCGTTGATGATGAAAGGAACATGTCTGAACATGCAGGACCTTCAGGTTGGTAAACATTTTTATTTCATACTTCTTTCTTAAGGACTGCCTATCTTTCTTCTGGACCATTCTTGAATTCTCATGTTTGAGATAAAAGTATAGTTGTTACTCTATGGTACTATCATTTTAGATGCAGTTGTGATAGCAGATCTTCCTTTTACAATTTCACCTTTAAAGTAGTACTGAGTGTCAGTGAATGCAACGAGTAATACTAAAGGAGCAGTATGGTAATAATAATTAAATAACTGCATTGACTTATTTTGTTTAGGAGAATCCATCCTCAACATACAGGATTCTGAAGACTATCCACCTTCAAGATCACCATCATTTTCTATAGTTTCAGAGTTATCTGCCAAGGATAGTGTTTCAGTCATATCATGTATGTCACATAGCCACAGTATATCACCTGTAGCAAAAAGAAAAAAAATCTCCATCATCTGGAAACCACCACAGATAAGTTTGTAATCTGCTGTTTCTTATCACAAAGAGGCCACTGATGAAAAAATTGCCCCGTTTTTTCATGCAACAAACTCTCCTTTCTGTATGATTGGGAACCCACACTTCATTAACATGGTTCAGTCATTAAGACCAGGATACAGTCCACGCAACAGAGCAGATATCGCAAACAAATTGCTGGATAAAGTGTATGAAAGAGAAATTGAGCAGTGTGCAAAAGGTCTAGAGGGTAAAATTGTTAACCTGAGTCTTGATGGGTGGAGCAATATCCACAATGATCCTATTGTATGTGCTTGTATGACAGCAGAAGAAAGGAATGTCTTCCTTAGAGAAACAATTGGTACATCAGGAAATGCACACAAAGCAGAATACTTACAAGAAGTATCAGTAAAAGCTATAACAAACTGTGGGGAAAAAATTCAAATGTCTAGTACGCAGCTTGGTCACAGACAATGCTGCAAATGTATCCAAGATGAGAATAAATTATTTAGAAGAGTCCCAAGCTAATAACATACAGTTGCAGTGCTCATTTGATGCACCTCCTAGCCAAAGACTTCAGTGTTCCAGAAATAAAGGCTAATGTTGTTGAAATTGAAAAGTACTTCCATAACAACCACTTTGCAGCAGCTGTTCTGAAAAAAGTGAGAGGAACCAAGCTAACTCTCCCACAAGATGTGCGATGGAACTCAGTAGTGGACTGTTTTGAGCACTATATCAAGAACTTGCCTAATTCGATGACCGTTTGTGAACAAAATCATGAAAAAATAGATGGCACTATCACAGCCAAAGTTCTCAACATTGGGCTTAAGAGAAATGTTGAACAGACTGAGTACTCTGAAGCCTATTTCTGTAGCTTTGAACAAAATGCAGGGAAATAGCTGTTTTATTGCTGACGCTGTTGAAATTTGGAAGGAATTGAGTGAGATCTTAAAAGGAGAAGTAT